AAATCTGAAAAATTTGCAACAAGCACACAAATACTACCTTCTGTAACACAACCTGACCCTACCATCACACCATTTTAGAAGGAAGTCCATTTAAAATAGTGATTCTCAAACAGGCAATTTTGACTTCTTATCATCACCATCGGAGGGGAGGAGACTGCATCCTAGCAGAGGACAAGAACATCACTAACACTATCAACAAAACTGATCAAGCCAAAATGTCAACAGTGTCACCCAGGTTGAGAAACAAAATTTTATAAAGCTCTAAATTAGATGCTCCCACCTCCCTCCACCCAATCTCTAAAAATAAATAAATAATTAGATGATCACTAGGCCTTACCAAATTAGATTTTACGACTCAGAAATAATTCTACAAAATTTACAGCTGGCTGGATGCGGCGGCTCATGCCTGTAATCCCAGTAGGGGTGAGACAGGTGGATCATGAGGTCAGAGTTCAATTCAACACCAGCCTGACCAATATTGTGAAACCCTGTCTACTAAAAATACAAAAATTAGCCAGGCATGGTGTTGCGTGCCTATAATCCCAGCTACTCAGGAGGCTGAGCCAGGAGAATTGCTTGAACTCAGGAGGCAGAGGTTGTGGTGAGCAGAGATAGCACCACTGCACTTCAGCCTGGACGACCAGAATGAGACTGGGGCTCGGGGAGGGGCGTTGCACAGACTTATAGCCTTGACTAGGCACACGTCTGTAATCCTAGCATGTTGAACTAGAGTTCGAGCCTGGGCAACATGGCAAAATCCTGTCTCTACCAAAAAACACAAAAACTAGGTGGACATGGTGGTATGTGTCTGTAACCCCAGCTAACTCAGGAGGCTGAGATGGGGGGATTACCAAGGCTAAGTGAGCTGTGATCATGCCACTGTACTCAGGCCTGGGTGACAGAGCCAGACCCTGTCTCAAAAAAAAAAAAAAGGCTTTTAATTTAACCATTTCTACCTATGGCCAAAAGAATGTGAGCAGACCATGACCTTTTAGAATATTCACGAATGGGTACCTTAAAACACTGAGAACAAGTTACTGAACTGGAACTAAGGCGTGGGCAGCTTGGCATGTCATACTTCCCGAACTCAGAAAATAGTTGCAAATGTAGCGTAAAGTTTCAGTTCACAAAATTTGGTAAGTCAGGACTTGCTGTGGTATTGGTCACAGTTCAGGACTGTTCCGATACTAACAAATTGCACTCTATCCTAGCTAACAGAGAATAAAAACACCCCTAGAGGCAGCTTCCACTCCCAGAACAGTAGTACTTTAAACACTCCTGACTAGGTATGAGGTCAGGTATTATTCACCAAAGTCCATGTAACCAAGCAGTAAGTTAAGGCCAACTTATTACCGTCAAGGAAGGTGAACCCCCTGGTTAAAAACAGCACTAGACCGGATGGAAGTATCACCTAGTCCTTCAATACAAGTTTCAAGTTCCCTGCAGGGCTTTTCCGTTCCATGAGCTCAACTTGCTTCAGTCCATTCACCATCATAAAGCAGAGAAACCTAAAGCTGTTCAGAATCAAAGGTCCCAGGAGGCAGTCAGGATTCCCGATGCTGTTAAACATGATTTGCCACAGGATTGACAAACTAATGGTAACATGATTCAACCTCCATGGATTCATGAGTGGGCACCTAAACATGGCGCCCACCTACTTAATGTCTTTCTGCAAACCTAGAAGGTACACATTCTTTTTATGAGAACAAGGGTATTTCTGCATAATCTCCAATTATTTCTTCCAACCCACTAAAAATTCCAGTCATCTGAGAACTCCCATCCGATCAGGGTGGGAGAAGGGAAGACAGTTCTATCTCCTTGGGTGTCATAAAGTTTTCATTCTGGTTTTCAGGACCTAGACTTAGCAAAACCCTAGTTTTCTAAATTTTAAAATTGAAAAACAGGCTGGGCACGGTGGCTCACACCTGTAATCCCAGCACTCTGGGAGACTGAGGATGGCAGATCACCTAAAGTCGGAGTTCAAAGACCAGCCTGGCCAACATGGTGAAACCCTGTCTCTACAAAAATACAAAAATTAGCCGGGCATGGTAGTGGGTGCCTGTAATCCCAGCTACTTGAGAGGCTGAGGCAGGAGATCGCTTGAACCCAGGAGGTGGAGGTTGCAGTGGGCCGAGATCTGCCATTGTGCTCCAGCCTGAGCAACAGTGAGAAAAAAAAGAAAACCATCTTTCTCATTAGCAGAGAACCAGTTAGGAACTAACTTAACCATGCATCTCTCCCCCTGAACTATATTTTCTGAAGAAGACAAACCCAACACCTTCTGCTAAAGAATGTAACATAATAGTGCCTGGCTACCAGACACAGCTTGACAGGATCTTCCCTTTCAGTTTTGCAGAATTAGCCAAAATGAGTATTGGACTAGAATCCAAAACCCCGAAGAATCAGGGTATGTCCTCCTACCTTATTAGTGGGGCTTAACTCCATCCTCAGGGTAAATTATCGGGAGGGCAGTTAAACATTTTAACACAAAAAACATTTTAGTTGACTAATGAAACTGTATTAAGGCAAGAAGAGGCTGCCCAGGACTTGGTTTCCCATTATTTCACACTTGCCTCAAACTGTCTTTCAGTTAACACCACCTAGACCAGACCACAGCAGGGAACCAGCATTAGCAGAGATCAGAAAACAAAAATAAAGCCAGGCATCAGGGTGATTATTTCGTTTTATTATCTCCTTATTCCTGTCATTTAAAGAGGAAAACAAAGCCATATAACTCTCTTCACCACAGATACGGACAAAGTTTCTGCAGTATCTAAAACCACCATCCTCCAATTTTGCTGGAGGATCAGGGTGGTGGGAAAGTCAAGCTGCAGGCCGGGCTCGGGCCCCGGAATCCCAGCACTTAGGGAGGCCGAAGCGGGCAGATCATGAGGTCAAGACCAGCCTGACCAACATGGTGAAACCGCGTCTCTGCTAAAAACTACAAAAATTAGCTGGCCATGGTGGCGCGTGCCTATAATCCCAGCTACTAAGGAGGCTGAGGCAGAAGAATCACCTGAACCTGGGAGGCAGAGGCTGTAGTGAGCTGAAATTGTACCACTGCATTCCAGCCTGGGAGACAGAGCGAGACTCCGTCTCCAAAAACACACACACACACACACACACACACAACAGGTGCAATAATACTGTACTATCAGACTGGGGTGAAGCAATCTAGTCCTTTTACCTAGCTGACTCTGAATCAAGACAACTAAAAGAAATGTACCAGAAAGAAAGAAAAAACAAAATGCTAAGAAAATCCCCATCTAGTGTATCTACCCTTTATGGACAAAAGTACCTTTATAATGTTTTACAGTGAATCGTGGTCTCAAGTTTCCACTTTCAGTTTTAGTAATGAATAACTTTCAAAGAAAACACTCTCAACAAGACCCTCCGGTACACAAAGCTCTATTTCAGCAATGACCGAAACAATGACACCTTTGTTGTAACAATCCAGCCGCTTTGAAACTTTGGTATTTACTTAGCAGATGAACAAGTTTCTCTATATAGGTGCCTTTGACTTCAAGAGATGTGTAAGACGGGCTCCAAGTTACATTTTAGAGAGCCTTGTATTTTTAGACGTTCTTTTTCATCTATCAGAAAAACTTACGGTGATGATTCCCCATGAAAGGTTGTGGCTCACGAACCATGCATCACAAAACTAACAAGGAAAACTTGAAGAACCAGTGAAAGAGCGGAAGCTAGTGTCGGAATCTTCAACTGGCTACGGTAATCTCGATTTATTGCATTAATAATCCTCTAGACCTCAAGATACACGTGGCCTATAGATAGTTATCAATGGACAAGACTTAAAAATAAAACCCAAGTTCAGCAAGTATTTGAGCACCTGCTAAAAATTACACAAGTCCCACAACAACACATTTAGCGTTTCTAAAGCTGTTAAAAAGCATGTTCGGAAACTTCATGAAATTTCCCAAGTTGTTTGGGCCAAACACACATGTTTTCTCAAAAGAAGGGGGGGGACATTTTGAGGGTAACGAAGCAAACTGGTCTGTCGCATGTTAAGTGAATTTCTTGTTCACCTACAGGTCACCGCGAAGTCAAGCTAGGTTTTAAAAGGAACACATTCTGGGGTCTCCACGGATCAGCTCTACAAGTCCGCTCGGTATGAGCGCCTGGGCCGGGGCTAAGGTCCCGCGTCTCTGCTGCTATCCTCAAGAGGGAATCCGAGAATACACATACAGGGGTTCCCCAGGGCAGCCTTCAGCGAAGACGAGGGAGAGGGGCTGCCCGGGTCTCACGGGTGTTTCCAGCGCTGGGGATGGCCGCGCGCAGCGAAGGCCCAGGGGCGCGCAGGGCCAAGAATGTGGCGACCCAGGAGCTCGCGGGGCCGCCCGCCCTGGAGCCTGAGGCAGGGAGGACCTCACCTTGCTGCAGTCCTCCTCCTGGTGCTGCAGCAACTCGGGAACCGCGGCCATGACGACGCGGGACTCGAGCAAGGGCCGCCTGGCTGTGCGAGGAAAGAAGAGGCTGGACCGCCGCCGCCTGGGCGCCTCTCAGGGGCGGCCACGGCCCCGCCTCCGCCGGCCTCCCTGCCCGACGGCAGCAGGAGGCCTCCGGACTCCGCCACCATCCCAGCTGCCCCGGGAGCAGACGAGCAAGGCGCCACGTGCTCCCCCAGAGCGGCCTCCCAGTCCCCGCTGCCGTCCATCTTGGAGCCGGGCAAAGACGCCACGCAGGGCCTACCCTTGCTCCGCTCCAATAGGAGTCCGCCGACCGCAGGGCCGCGACAGGGACGCGAAGCCACAGACACTCTCCCACCACCGCGCGTCTAGAGAAAGACTGCGTTTCGGTGCAGGGGGATTTTATTACTCAGCCCGAGTCCAAGATGGCGGCGAGCGCTGACGTCACCAGATGTCGTGAGAACAGAAGGGCGCGATTTGGAGGCGCCCGCGCTTCGGAGACGCCAGAGCTTCGGGGACTCCAACTCTTCCGCTCGGAGGAGGGACTCCCTGCCGCTAGCTGGTCCTCGGTAGGGTGTGAGCGCCGCGGGGCATTCTGGACCTGCTTTGCCTTAGGCTGTGCCTGACTTGAAACCGAAGCGCGGGACGGGTGAAAGTACGGGACGCGAGAAGTTGCTCGCGCCTAGGAGTTAAGCGAAGTGCGGTGGCTTCCGAGGTACCGACGCTTGCTGTAGGCTGGGCTTCTATTTAAGTCGTCTTTTCCTTAATCCAGACTCCTGCCCCAGGGGCCACCGCCGCACTGGCCCTGCCAGGGGTCCGCACTCACGGCGGAGCGGGAGGCTGCTTTCTGCGGGTCACAGTAATGGGACCTTAGCGCCGCCACCAGCTCTGACCTGCGGCGAGCCACTGGACCCTCGAACCCCATTTCCACATCTGCGCAATGGGCTCATTCTAGACCAACACTAGAGGATGTGAGGACCAAATGAGAAGTGTCCACACAGAATACTTAAAGAGAGCCTAGTGCCTAGGGATCAGTGGTTGTCCGTCACCTAGGACTGTGTGGCAGTCATGGGACGGGCTCCATGTTTGTGTTTTTCTGTGCCTCACACACGCCTCCCTTCCTGGGCGTCACATTCCTGCAGATTAGACACTGGGGACGTCTTGCCCCAAGCTGTCTACTAATTCGCATTTAATATGTGCTGGTCCTTCGGGTATTGAGAGTCTATTTATTTATAGTTTTTTTTCTTTTGGAGGCAGAGTCTCGCTCTGTCAGCTTTCTCAAGAAAGGGCTCTGTCCAAACATGTCGAAAAAGTTCACTGAATACAATTTGGATGTGCAATATTCTGATGCAGCTTTCGCTTTGATGGTTCTTTTCTCTCTAATAGGAATACAAACATAAAGGCCCTCGACCGTGGCAAACAGACTAGAGAAAAGTGAAAACAAATCTGAATGAAGATGAAGATTTTTCAGACCATCTGCAGGCAGCTCAGGAGTTCAAAGGGATTTTCTGTGGAATCAACTGCCCTTGTGGCTTTCTCTACTTCCTCTTACTCATGTGGCCGGAAGAAAAAAGTGAACCCATATGAAGAAGTGGACCAAGAAAAATACTCTAATTTAGTTCAGTCTGTCTTGTCATCCAGAGGCCTTGCCCACACCCCAGAATCCTTGTTGGAGAAAGATGCTTTACTCTATGGACCTGTGGTCAGGCATAAGCCCCCAAGGCAAGATGAGGGCACGCGAATGCCACAAAACTGGTTTCCTATCTTCAATCCAGAGAGAAATGATAAATCAAATGCAAGTGATCCTTCAGTTCCTTTGAAAATCCCCTTGCAAAGGAATCTTATACCGAGTGTGACCCGAGTCCTTCAGCAGACCATGACGAAACAGCAGGTTTTCTGGTTGGAGAGGTGGAAACAGCGGATGATTCTGGAACTGGGAGAAGATGGCTTTAAAGAATATACTTCAAGTAATTATCTCAAATCTTGTTCTGTATGTTTGCTGTGTTTTCTAGAATAGAGAGCCACCGTGTCTTCTTTTTTTTAACTTACTAGCTAGGAACTCCTTTCAATTAGTAATTAGCATTAAATAGCACTTTATGTGTATTAACAACTCACTTGACACTCGTGACAGTCCTGGGAAATATAGATGTTATTGTCCACATTTTACAGATGAAACTAAAATAGATCAAATAATTTGACTAATACATAAAGTCACTTGTTTTATCAGCTACCAACAATATTAAAATTGCTTGTTTTCTTTGATGATGGAAAAAAGTCAGTCACCTGAATTCTAGTTGTTAGGTAGATACTCTACTTAGAATCTAGGAAATACCCAGTGCCCTACTTATTAGTGTAAACTGACTCATAAATTTAAAGACCCAGCAGCAGGCCAGAACGAATGACCTGTATTTAGACCTTGGTAAACAGAAATAATCGGAGGTTCTTGATAAGTATCTGAGAATAAATACACTTTAACCTTCAACTTCTAATTTACTCAACGTGGACAAGTGAGAATAGCTTCCTTAATTTATTTTATTTATTTATTTATTTGTTTGTTTATTTTTGAGATGGAGTCTCACTCTGCTGCCCAGGCTGGAGTGCAGTGGCTCAATCTTGGCTTGCTGCAACCTCTGCCTCCTGGGTCCTAGCGATTCTCCTGCCTCAGCCTCCTGAGTAGCTGGGACTACAGGTGTGTGCCACCACGCCCAGCTAATTTTTTGTGTTTTTAGTACAGACGGGGTTTCACTGTGTTAGCCGGGATGGTCTTGATCTCCTGACCTCGTGATTCACCTGCCGTGGCCTTGCAAAGTGCTCATACAGGCGTGAGCCACCGCGCCCGGCCACAAACTCTTTTATTTTTGAGAATAGTGTACTGACCCTTGCCGTAGGCTAGGCCTCTATTTAAGTCGTCTTTCCCCTAATTAAAACTATGTGTGTGGGCTTGTGTGTAACACATTAAACATGTCATATGTTCTAAAGAAAAATACTAACTACATACAAGTGGTACTGGATATAACAAAAAATAGTCAAGACCTTAGCTCCTTAGAACATTCCTCAGCTGTGTGGGGTAAGGATTATATATGCAAGAGCTAAGGCCCTGAGATAGTTAATTAGTAGCAACCACCAAACTTCTCTGCTTTCCTGGCAAGCAACATAAAAATCTTTTAATGGCATCTTACAGTTTTTTATTTGTACCACTGAATTTAGAATTGAGTTTCCTCATGAGAAGTTATTTTCCTTAAACCAGGAATATCACAACTGAAATTATTGATAAGAAATGTATTATTAAAAGGTAGAAACCTGCTGGTACACGTGACCCTACGGCCTGTAGCTCTTGGCATGAAGTAAGGAAGTGCACCAGAGAGGAATTTCTGTTTGGAATGTGAATGAGCCCCACTAGCCCAGGCAGAGAGAAGACTGTGGGTTTTTTTCATAGAGTCAGCTTTGTTGATCTAGATTAGCACCTAGCTGTGTTTCTCAGTTAACTCAGTAGCAACCTTAAGAAATGAGCAGAATCACTTTTTATTTTTTTCCTGGAGACAGGGTCTCACTCTGGCACCCAGGCTGGAGTGCAGTGGTGTGATCACAGCTCTCAGCAGACTTGACCTCCCGAACTCAAGTGATTCTCCCATCTCAGCCTCCTGATTAGCTGGGATCACAGGGGTACACCACCATGACTGGCTAATTTATTTATTTTTTTGAGTTTAGATTGTAGTTCTGGGGTTTAAATTGTAGTTTTTGGCCGGACGTGGTGGCTCATGCCTGTAATCTCAACACTTTGGGAGGCCAAGGCAGGCAGATCACCTGAGGTCAGGAGTTCAAGACCATCCTGGCCAACGTGGTGAAACCCTGTCTTTAAAAAAAAGAAAGAAAGAAAAAAGGATAGATTTTAGTTTTTATTTTTTGCTGTACTGATTTAATTCTGAAGTTTTAGCCCTCCTGCCAGTTCCATCATCAGAATACTGGAGATGCTCGAAGGTTTATTTAGTGCGCTTCATATACTAGGACTTGAAACCTTTCACTATTACCTTGAGTGAGTAAGCGGACCTGTGATACATGCAGTAAATCTATTCTGGAATCATCTTTTATTTCTACAAATTGAATCATGTTGAATGTTCTGAGCCTTAGAGTCTAAAGGATCCTATAATCTAGGTTTTCATGTTTGTGACCATGCGTATGTGAAGAACATAGCCAGGGGTAAGTTTGCAGCTAGAACTGAATGGTCTTTTGGCATGGCATTTGCTAAGTTTTTTCCTTCCTGTTTTTAACATGTTTCTCTTCTGCTTCATTAAGCTAGTGTGTAGATAAATGCTACACTTCTTTTTCCTAGGCTTTAATTCCATCAGTCATAAATTTCTTATAGATCTTTCATGGGTTAATAATTTCCATTGAGCCAAGTAAATTTGGGGTAGAATAACTTAGTTCCTAGGTTGAATTTTATTTAACTCTCTAAATAATTTTTTCAGAAGGGATTCCATTTTTTTGCCAATAATAGAATTGACATTTCCAGCTGGGTGTGGTGTGGCTCACGCCTGTAATCCTAGTACTTTGGGAGGATGAGGCAGGCAGATCACTTTCAGTCAAGAGCTCAAAACCAGCCTGGCCAACATGGCAAGACCCCGTCTCCACTAAAAATACAAAAAAAAAATAGCCAGGTGTGTAGTGGGCACCTATAATCCCAGCTGCTCAGGAAGCTGAGGCAGGAGAATCACTTGAACCTGAAAGGCAGAGATTGCACTGAGCCGAGATCATGCCGCTGCACTTCAGCCTTGTAAAAAAAGAACTGACATTTCTGTCTTTATAAAGAAATACTTGAAGGCCATGTGCAGTGGCTCACTCCTGTAATCCCAGCACTTTGGGAGACTGAGATGGGAGAATTGCTTGAGGCCAGGCATTCAAGACCAGCCTAGGCAACATAGAGAGATCCCATCTCTCCAAAAATATATTTTTTTAAATTAGCCAGGCGTGGTGGCACATGCCTATAGAGGAGACTGAAGCAGGAGGATTGCTTAAGGCCAGGTGTTTGAGGTTACAGTGAACTATGATTGAGCCAGTACATTCCAGCCTGGGTGACAAGTGAGACCCTGTCTCAAAAAAAAAAAAAAAAGCTTGACAAATGTAATGTGGTTTAATATTATCTCATTAGATAAGTCACTTTCCTCCTTTTCTGTGGTTCTCTCTGCAGGCAAGTTCCAAGCATGTGTATTTCCTACTGTTTCTCTATTTATCTAATTGGTGATTGGCGATGTCCAAGATTGCCTCATTTGTGCTACTGTGGTAGATTGGAAAGAACACAGATTCGGCTGCCTGTCCAGCTTTTTGCTTTGGGGCAAATTAACAGCACTGCCTAGTGGGACAGGGCCTCATTCATTAAAATGGGGGTAACTATCCTTATCTTGCTGGATTGTTGGGTTTGAAAAGTAATGTTTTGAAAGCTCCAAGGCCATTGCTTAGCATAACAGTGTCCACTCTTTGTTTCTCTCCTCTTACCAAGAAACAAGTGAATATTTTTTGCATTTCTGGAATCTCTTTGTGTTTCTTTTTTTGTTGTTGTTGTTGTTGAGATAGAGTCTCGCTCTGTCACCAGGCGCCAGGCTGGAGTGCAGTGGCGTGATCTTGGCTCACTGCAACCTCCGCCTCCCGGGTTCAAGCAATTCTCCTGCCTCAGCCTCCCTAGTAGCTGGGCCTACAGGCACACGCCACCATGCCCGGCTAATTTTTGTATTTTTAGTAGACATGTGGTTTCACCATGTTGGCCAGGATGGTCTCAATCTCTTGACTTCATGATCCGCCCACCTCAGCCTCCCAAAGTGCTGGGATTACAGGCATGAGCCACCATGCCCGGCTTTTTTTTTTTTTTTTTTTTTTTTTTTTTTTTTTTTGAGACAGAGTCTTGCTCTGTTGCCCAGGCTGGAGTACAGGGGCACAGTCTTGGCTCACTGCAACCTCTGCTACTGGGTTTAAGCAGTTCTCCTGCCTCAGCCTCTGGAGTAGCTGGGATTATAGGTGTGCACCACTACACCTGGCTATTTTCATATTTTTAGTAGGGACAGGGTTTCACCATGTTGGCCAGGCTGGTCTTGAACTCTTGACTTCAGGTGATCCACCTGCCTTGGTCGCCCAAAGTGCTGCGATTACAGGTGTGAGCTACCACTCCAGGTTGTGTTCCCACGAGGAAGGGGCTTAACTATGCAAGCACTTGGAGGCCAAGGAGCACTGAAAATGAGGAGAGGGTTCAAAAATCAAGTTAGATCCTGGGATGTGCTGACAAATCCAGACACTGCAGTTCTTTCAGAGAACCTGGGGACAAAAAGTAAGGCTTGGACCTCCGAAAATGAACATACGGGAAAAATAATGTGTCCTTTTGGTTAATGAAATATCCCGTGTATTCACATATTATAAAATGTTAGGAAGAGGGAAAATGTATCCTCTTACAAGCCACACATCGGAATTCTAATAATCTAAGGCTAATTATAAAAATATTACATGTTAAATATTAAATGTTAGAATTTTTAAAAAGTATATGAGGGACACAGCTGAATTTTTCAGGCTGTTCCAATGCTCAAAAAAAGTATAAGAGAAGAATGTCACATATTTTCCTCTTCCTCCCCCTCCAAATTCCACAATATCCAATTCATTACTTTTCATTTTTGTTGCCTTATTTTCCATTCCTTGCTTGTCACTAATCCTGTTAGTAAAAGGATCCCCCCACCTATGTTCATAATTAAGTTTTGGTCTAAAAAGAACTGTAAACAGAAGCACAGTTCCCTAGATTTATAATGATTTTTTTTAAATCACAGCCAGTTAACTTATTAAATCGGGTACTTAAACACATAGTACCATAAATGGGTGTGGTCCTGCAGCCTGCAGATCTTCAGTTCTGACTTTGGCCTAATTCTCCTAGAAATACTTAGTTTTAATTCATTTTATTGCCTAACAATAGTATTAATAATCCCTTTGGTTCTCAAAGTATATTATGTTTCACAAGAGGCTGAAATTTGGTCTTAGGGATTTCACTTAGAAATAAATAACTATTAAGTGTACCTGGACTTGAGAAAAAAAAAAGAAAGAAAGAATTAATTTTTCTTTTTTGTTTGTTTGTTTTTCATGAGAACATGGTTTAAAACTAATTAAGTTTTAATTGTGTTGTTCGAGCGTTTTAGAGTACTTGTTTTTAGTGTTAGCGTTGTTTGTGTTTCCCCCTTCCCTTTCCCCTGATTTTCTTTTCAGACATCTTTTTACAAGGGAAGCGGTTCCACGAAGCCTTGGAAAGCATACTTTCACCCCAGGACACCTTAAAAGAGAGAGATGAAAATCTCCTCAAGTCTGGTTACATCGAAAGTGTTCAGCATATTCTGAAAGATGTCAGTGGAGTGCGAGCTCTTGAAAGTGCTGTTCAACATGAAACCTTAAACTATATAGGTCTGCTGGACTGTGTGGCAGAGTATCAGTAAGTATGAGATCGTTTCCATACAATGTGGAGGTGAATTAATATAAGACGGTGCCTGTCAAAAGGTGCGCCTGTAGATACTGCAGCCTCCGTCTCTTTAGTGTCCAAACCTTTGTGCTAGGTAGAAGAATTGGGAGGGGCAGGGTTGAGAACAGGTACAAGGAGAAGAGCCACATAACCTTTGTCATCCAATATTCCAAAATCAAATTGTCTGTTGGAGAAAGGTATACTCTTTGTTTTGTTTTGAGACCGAGTCTCTCTCTGTCACCTAGGCTGGAGTGCAGTGGTGCAATCTTGGCTCACTGTAACCTCTGCCTCCCAGGTTCAATAGATTTTTCTGCCTCATCCTCCTGAGTAACTGGGATTACAGGTGTGTGCCACCACACCCGCCTAGTTTTTGTATTTTAGTAGAGACGGGGTTTTACCATGTTGGCCAGGCTAGTCTCGAACTCCTGACCTCAAGTGATGCACCTACCTTGGTTTCCCAAAGTGCTGGAATTATAGGCATGAGTCACTACACCCAGCTAAGACTTTTCAATATCCCTAACATGGCCTGTTTGCCAGCCTGTCCTTCCCCTCCCCCAAAGCAAGGTACCTGCCGTAAGATCCAGTTTCATTCCTGCGTTTTCTTTCCTTTTTTCCTAAAGATAGCACCATGATCTGTTGGTTCTGAAAATCAACTCTCTTCCTGGCTTCCAGGCAATGCTTGACATGGATCAGAGCTCTGAACTTACTACAGCTTCCTGTGGTTTTTTCTTTGGTTTTGTTTGAGATGGAGTCTTGCTCTGTCCCCCAGGCTGGAGTGCAGTGGTGCCGTCTCAGCTCACTGCAACCTCTGACTCCCAGGTTCAAGTGATTCTCCTGCCTCAGCCTCCCGAGTAGCTGGGACTAACGCCCAGCTAATTTTTGTATTTTTAGTAGAGATGGGATTTTACCATGTTGGCCAGGATGGTCTTGATCTCTTGACTTTCTGATCGACCCACCTCAACCTCCCAAAGTGCTGTGATTACAGGTGTGAGCCACCTCACCCTGCCCCGTGGTTTTTATATTGTAGCTGTCTTACTGTTTTTCTCACGTACTTCAGAGTCCAAGTGTTACAGGAAAGGGGTCCTGATCCAGACCCCGAGAGGGTTCTTGAATCTCATGCAAGAAAGAATTTAGGGTGAGACCAGGCACAGTGGCTCATGCCTGGAATCCCAGCACTTTGGGAGGCCAAGGTGGATGGATCACCTGAGGTCAAGAGTTCAAGGCCAGCCTAGCCAACATGGCAAAACCTTGTCTCTACTAAAAATACAAAAATTAGCTAAGTACAGGGGTGTGTGCACGTAGTCCCAGCTACTTGGGAGGCTGAAGCAAGAGAATCACTTTAATGCAGGAGGCAGAGGTTGCAGTGAGCCGAGATAGTGCTACTGCACTCCAGCCTGGGCAACAGAGCAAGACTCTGTCTCAAAAGAAAGAAAGCATTCAGGATGAGTCTGCAGTGCAAAGTAAAAGCAGGTTTATTAAGAAAGTGAAGTAGTCTGGGCACGGTGGTTCACACCTGTAATCCCAGCACTTTGGGGGGCCAAGGTGGGCGAATCATGAGGTCAGGAGTTCAAGACCAGCCTGACCAAAATGGTGAAACCCTGTCTCTACTAAAAATACAAAAAATTAGCCATGAGTGGTGGCAAACGCCTGTAATCCCAGCTACTTGGGAGGCTGAGGCAGGAGAATTGCTTGAACCCGGGAGGTGGGAGTTGCAGTGAGCTGAGAATGTGCCACTGCAGGCCCGCCTTCGTGGCAGAGCAAGACTCTGTCTCAAAAAAAGAGAAAGTACGGTAGCGAAAGTGTAGCTACTCCACTGACAGAGCAGGGCATTCCTGCAAGTAAGCAGAGAAAGACGTCCACCCTGGGTACAATGCTCATATACATAAGATTAAAAAAAAGATCATGGGGAAATGTGCTGTGCTAGAAGGGTTTGTGATACAGGAGTAATTTTTTAATTACTATATTTTATAAGAATTGATGTTATCTTTAAAGCAAAATTAGGAATACCTTGGTTCCCCAGATATCAGGGTATCTGGACACTCCAAGTCTGGGTCTGTTTAGTAAACATTATTAATTTGTTCCCTTAACTGTAGCATCTAGAGGCTAGGAATGCCTAACTTTTTGGGAATGTAGCCCAGCAAGACCCAGCTTCATTTTCCTAGTCCTCACTCAAGATAGAGTTGTTCTAGTTCCAACGCCTCTGACACAAGGGTGGCTACAACCAGGAGGTACCCCTAATTCAAATAAGGCAAGGGAGCACTAAGCACAAGATAGGGAGAAAAATCTGTTCATGTAAACCTTGGAGCGCTAGTTAAAATATAAGTTTAAAAGCTTGTCCAGGCTCGCTGCGGTGGCTCACACCTGTAATCCCATCACTTTGGGAGGCTGAGGCAGGCGGATCACGAATTCAAGAGATCGAGACCATTCTGGCCAACATGGTGAAACGCCATCTTCTACTAAAAATACAAAAATTAGCCAGGCATGTGGTGCTCTCCTGTAGTACCAACTACTCAGGAGGCGAGGTGGGAGAATTGCTCGAACCCGGGAGGCAGAAGTTTCAGTGAGCCAAGATTGCGCCACTGCACTCCAGCCTGGTAGACAGAGCCAAGACTCTGTACAGCCCAACACAAATTCATAAACTTCCTTAAAACATTATGAGATTTTTTTTGGTATTTATTTATTTTTAGCTCATCAGCTATTAGTGTATTTCATGTGTGGCCCAAGATAATTCTTCCAATATGGGCTGGGAAGCCAAAAGAGTGGGCACCCTAATAGTCTGGAAACTGTTTAGACCTAATGGTTTTACAGCACAACTGCCTCATCTCTGAGAAGAGCTCTGTGTACCAAGAGATTTAATAGACTATTTTTGGCTGCCCTTTAGGTTGATCTAGGAATCCATATAGTTACCTCCACCCAAGGCCTTATAAGAAGTTCCTGACACCCAGTGCTTGTCATAGAGACAAGAAAGTATGTCCATAGCACTGTTCTTTGATTTTTTACTGTTCTCTTTAAATCAGAGCACCAACATTGGTAATATGAGCATTTTTGAAACTAAGGTTTTTTGTGTTTTGGGTTTGTTTTGAGACTCTTCTCTCTCTGTCACCCAGAGTTTGGTGGGTGCAGTCTCAGTTCACTGCAACTTCCACCTCCTGGGTTCATGCGATTCTCATGCCTCAGCCTCCCCAAGTGGCTGGGATGACAGGCACCCGCCACCACGCCTGGCTAATTTTTTGTATTTTTAGTAGAGATGGGGTTTCGCCATGTTAGCCAGGCTGGTCTCAAACTGCTGACCTCAAGCGGCCTGCCCAAAGTGCTGGGATTACAAGCATGAGCCACCAAACCCAGCCTAGAATTTTTTTTTTTTTTTTTTTTTAAAGACGGGGTTTTGCTCAGCTGCCCAGGCTGGAGTACAGCTCATTGCAACATCCACCTCCCAGGCCCAAACGATCCTCCCACCTCATCCTCCTGAGTAGCTGGGATCACAGGTGCAAACAACCATGCCCAGCTAATTTTTTTTGTATGTTTTGTAGGGAGTGGGTTTTGCCATGTTGCTCAGGCTAATCTGGAATTCCTGAAGTCAAGCTGCCTGTCTCCATCTCCCAAAGTGCTGGGATTACAGGGGTGAGGCACCACTTTTGAGGCAGAGTCACACTTGGTCACCCAAGCTGGAATTCAGCGATGCAGTCAGGGCTCACTGCAGCCTCTAACTCCCTGGGCTCAGGCTATCCTTCCACCTCAGCTTCACCATGCCCAGCTAATTTTTCTACTTTTTCATAGAGGTGGGGTCTCACCCTGTTGCCCAGGCTGGACTTGAACTCCTGGGCTCAATTGATACGTTGCCTCAGCCTTCTAAAGTGTGGGGATTACAAACATGAGCCACCATGCCCAGTCAATTTTTTTTTTTTGAGACAGAGTTTTTGCTGCTGTTGCCCAGGCTGGAGTGCAATGGCGAGACCTTGGCTCACTACAGCTTTCGCCTTCCAGGTTAAGTGATCTCTTGCCTCAGCCTTCCAAGTAGCTGGGATAACAGGTGCCTACTAACACCATACCTGGCTAATTTTTGTATTTTTCATAGAGACACGGTTTCACCCTCTTGGCCAGGCTGGTCTCGAGCGCCTAACCTCAGGTGATCTGCCCACCGTGGCCTCCCAAAGTGCTGGGATTACAGGTGTGAGCCACTGCTCCTGCCCCGCTGAATTTTTAATGGGTGATGTAAACCCTCTATTAATTCAGGCAATTAGGAATAATTTCCCACACTGTGTTGAACCTCTGTTTAAAAAGTTCCTGTGTTCCTGAGATATTTTATGGCCATATGTACAATCATTTTTTCCCATACTTATTTTTAAACCAAGATACTATATGCTGCTTTTTTCCACTTAAAAAAAATTATTTTAAAAAAATCTTAGAGATCTTTCCTTATTATTTATATAGATCTGTAACATTCTTTTCTCATGTAATAATTTTCTACCACCCAGAATTAATAGTTAATAACACTGTTACATTTGCTTCCAACTTCTTTTTTCCTTGTTCCTATGATTATTTGGAGATCTTCTTTTAAAGAAATATAACATTACAGATCATTGAACCCTGTGGACAAAGGTGATGACTGTTTTAAGCTTGGTACTGTGTCCTTCTAGTCTGCCTCCTACACTCTTTTTTGTTTCTTTTCTTTTTTTTAATGACTAATGGTCCATGACACAGCATCAGGAGAACCGGAGAACATGTGCCCTTTGTACTCTTAGCACACACATAATACTATGTATTATAAACACGCACGGGTATTTCACATGGAACTGTGAGAGTCACAGTATACAGACATCTCTAGATACACAGTGTCACAGAGCTGGTAAGATATTAGACACAGGAGCCAGCTGCTTGAGTTTGGATTCTGGCTTTTCATCTTGACCTTAGGTTAGTTACTTAGTCTGTTTCAACTTACTCATCTTTAAGATAAGACAAATGGTAGTACCTGCCTCATGGGGTTGTTATAAAGATAAAATGAGATATTCCCTGAACACTGCTTAATGCATACTACACATTCAGTAGACATTGGCATTATTGTTTTGATCTGCTTTTTTTAAAAAAATTTTTTGTGGAAACAAGTCTTGCTGATTCTGGAACTGGGAAGGAAATGATCCTCCCACCTCAGCCTCCCAAAGTGCTGGAATTACAGGCATGAGCCACCTTGCCCAATTTACTGTGTGTGTGTGTGTGTGTGTGTGTGTGTGTGTGAGAGAGACAGTCACACTGTCGCTCAGGCTGAAGGGCAGTGGTGCAATATGGGCTCACTGAAACCTCCGCCTCCCGGGTTCCAGCGATTCTCCTGCCTCTGCCTCCTGAGTAGCTGGGATTACAGGTGTGTGCCCATAGCTCAGTGTGATGTTGATTTGCCTTTCACTAATGATTAGAGATGTTGAGCATTTTTTCATGTATCTATTGGCCATTCATGTCTTCTTTTAAGAAATATTTGTTTAACTCCATTGCCCAGTTTTTAATCAAGTTATTTGTTTTCCTACTGTTTAGTTGTTTGAGTTCCTTACATATTTTGGATGTTATCCCCTTATCATGTATGATTTGCAGATATTTTCTCTCATCCTGTGGGTTGTGTCTTCATTCTGTTTATTGTTTCCTTTGTTATGCAGAAGCTTTTGATGCATTTGTGTGTTTCTGCTTTTGTTACCTGTGCTTTCAGGCTTCTGTCTGAGAAATCATGGCTCCAATCAGTGTCGTGGAGCTTTTCTCATGATTTTTTTTCTAGTCGTTTTACAGTTGCAGGACTACGTTTAAGTCTTTAATTTTAAGTTGATTTTTGTATATGGTATGAAATTGAGTACGGTTTCATTCTTATGCAAGTCGACATCCAGTTTTCCTAACACAATTTTCAAGACATTCCCCATTGTTTGTTCTTGGCACCTTTACTGAAAATTAATTGACTGTAAATTCATAGATTTGTTTCTGGGCTGTCTGTCCTGTTCCACTGGTTTAATGTGTCTCTTTTTATGCCATTATCATGCTGTTCGATTACAACAGCTTTACCGTAGACAGCCATGTTCCACATAACAATGTCTCAGTCAGCGACAGACTGCATGTACAACAGTGGTCCCATAGGATTATAGTGGAGCTGAAGACCTCCTATCACCTAGTGACATAATGTTGTAGTTCAACATACTACTCGTGTTTATGGTTGCGCTGGTATAAACAAACCTACTATTCCACCAGTCATATAAAAACAGCACATACCATCATGTCCAGTACAGTATATAATTGATAGTGATAGTAAACAACTATTAATGGCTTGTGTATTTACTGTGATCCTAACCCTGTGTAGGCCTAGGCTAATGTGTGTGTGTCTTAGTTTTTAACAAAAGTTTTAAAAGTAACAAATAATAATAGAAAAAGCATGTAGAATAAAGATAGAAAGAAAGAGGCAGAGCATGGTGGCTCACACCTGTAATCCCAGCACTTTGGAAAACTGAGACAGGTGGATCACTTGAGGTCAGGAGTTCGAGACCAGCCTAAGCAACATTTTGAAACCCCGTCTCTGCTAAAAATGAAAAAAATTAGCCGGGCATGGTGCACATACCTGTAATCCCAGCTACTCAGCAGGCTGAGGTGGGAAGATTGCTTGAACCTGGGAGGTGGGGGTTGCGGGGAACCAAGGTTGCCTCACTGCACTCTAGCCTGGGTGACAGAGTGAGACTTTGTCTGAAAAAAAAAAAAAAAAAAGGAAAATATTTCTGTATAGTTGTATGACGTATTTAAGATAAGTATTGTTATAAGAGTCAATAAATTAAAGAAGTGGCTGGGCGCGGTGACTTACGCCTGTAATCCCAGCACTTTCGGAGGCCGAGGTGGGGAGAGTACCTGAGAACAGGGGTTTGAAACGATACAAAATTACCCGGGCGTGGTGGCACATGCCTGTAATCCCAGCTAATTTGGGAGGCTGAGGCAGGAAAATCACTTGAACCTGGGAGGCGGAGGTTGCAGTGAGCCGAAACCATGCCATTGTACTCCAGCCTGGGCAACAAGAATGAAATTCCATCTCAAAATTAATTAATTAAGTAATTAAAGAAGTTTACAAAGTAAAAACGTTACAGTAAGCTAAGGTTAATTTATTATTTGAAGAAAGAAAAACATGTTTTATAAATGTAGTGTAGCCCGAGTGTACAGTGTTTATAAAGTCTGCAGTAGTCTGTGGTAATGTCCAGGCCTTCACATTCACTCACCACTCACTCAGTTGCCCAGAGCAACTTCCAGTGCTGCAAGCTCCATTCATAGTAGGTGCCCTGTATAAGTGTACCATTTTTATCTTTTATACCATATTTTGACTGTACCTTTGCTATGTTTAGAGGTGTGTAGATATACTAATGCTTACCATTGTGTTACAGTTGCCTGCAGTATTCAGTACAGTAACATGCTGTACAGGTTTGAGCCTAGGAGCAAAGGTCTGGGTGTGTAGTACTGTCCTCCCTAGGTTTGTGTAATACACTCGATGTTTGCACAGCAACAAAATCGCCAAACCACGCATTTCTCAGGACATATCCTCGTCATTAAGCCACGCATGACTGTACTTTGAAATCAGGGAATGTCATGCCAGCTTCGTTCTTTTTACTGAAGATTGCTTTGGCTATTCTGAGTCTTTTGTGGTTCCCTGTGAATTTTAGGATTTTTTTCTATGATGGAATTTTTTTTTTTTTTGAGACAGGGTCTGGCTTTGTTACCCAGGTTGTTGTGCAGTGATGCAGTCCCTGCTCATGGCAAACTCCACCTCCCGGGCTCAAGTCATCTTCCTACCTCAGCCTCCCAAGCAGCTGGGTCAACAGGCTCCAGCCATAACACCTGGCTGATTTTTTTGTATTGTTTGTAGAGACAGGATTTTACCATGTTGCCCAGGCTGGTCTTGGACTCCTGGGCTCAAGCAATCTGCCCCAAGTATTGGGGATTACAGGTGTGAACCACCATATCCAGCCTGCCATTGGAATTTTGATAGAGACTGCATTGACTCTATAGATTGCTTTGGGTAGTATGGACATTTTAACAATATTAATTATTCCAGTCCATAACAGGATATCTTACCATTTATTTGTATCATTTTCAGTTTCTTTCATCAATATTTTACAGTTTACAGAATGCTATTAGTGTTTTTCTTTTACATTTATTACGTTCTATAATTACAGTACATTGCTGCAAACCGTGGTCTGTGGCAGAAATACAGCACGGTGGCTTATGCCTGTAATCCCAGCAGTTTGGGAGGCCGAGTCGGGTGGATCACTTGAGGTCAGGAGTTCGAGAGCAGCCTGACCAACATCGTGACACTCTGTCTCTACTAAAAATACAAAAATTAGCTGAGCGAGGTGACGCACACGTCATCCCAGCTACTCAGAGGCTGAGGCAGAAGAATCACTTGAACCCAAGAGGCGGAAGTTGCAGTGAACCAAGATTGTGCCACTGCACTTTAGCCTGGGTGACAGAGTAAGACTCCCATCTGGAAAAAAAAAAAAAAACAAACCAGGAATGGCAGCCTCCTAGAGTTACTGGGGCCCTTTCCTCAATTACAGAGATTGTCAAACTTGGCAATATTACAAAACAATTATAAAGACTATAAAATTATCTCTAAGCCTGCACTGTCCAGTAGAGTAGCCACTAACCACCTATATCTTTTGAGCATTTAAATCTGATCAGGCCAAACTAAGGATGCTGTAACAATACACAAACTAGATTTCAGTGACTTGGTACAAAAAAAGAATGTCAAATATTCCATTAATAATTTATTATGTTGATTACATGTTGAAATGATATTTTGGATATATTAGGGTTAAGTAAAATATTAAAATTTCACCTGTGTCCCGGTGCAGTGGCTCACGCCTGTAATCCCAGCACTTTGGGAGGCCGAGGCAGGTGGATCATGAGGTCAGGAGTACGTGACTAGCCTGACCAACATGATGAAACCTGGTCTCTACTAAAAATACAAAATTAGCCAGGCATGGTGCCATGCGCCTGTAATCCCAGTTACTCGGGAGGCTGAGGCAGGAGTATCGCTTAAATCCAGGAGGTGGAGGTTGGAGTGAGCCGAGAGTGTCATTGTACTCCAGCCTGGGCAACAGAGTGAGATTCTGCCTCCAAAAAAAAAAAGAAAGAAAAATTTCACCTGTATTTTTTTCTCTTTTGTGATGTGGCTACTAGAAAATTTAAAATGACACATACCTAGCATTTTCTTTCTTTTAGCCAGTGCTGCTCCAGACTGATTTTGCATGAGTTGTAACTGTCTAGAGCTATAGTGACATGTAAGTAATGTACATGCTATGTGTACAAAATCTCCCAATAAACTGCTGATTTTGAAATGGAAGTCATGAAGATAGATTGAACTGGTAGAGTCCTTTGAGAGTCGCCAGTTACTAGTCCACTCCCTGTGCTCCTTTTGATATTTGCATTTGGCAAGTATAAACCCCACCAGAATAGGGGAAGAGGGGAGGAATCCACTGATTATTTGATGCAAAAGAAAAAAAAAAAGAAAAAGTGGTGGGGTACACTTGTAGTCCCAGCTACTCAGGAGGCTGAGGTGGGAGGATCACTTGAGTCTAGCAGTATGAGTCTAGCCTGGGCAACATATGAAACCCCATCTCTTAAAAAAGAAAAGTAAAAAAAAGTGGCGAATAGGAGCAATAGTCATTGGGTGACAAGTAGCAAACTATACGTAAGAGGAGGGTTAACCTAGTAGAGATTTTCAGTTTGATCCATTACCTACAAAGTACTCCTGTGGTTTCTCTTTAGGGGCAAGCTGTGTGTGATTGACTGGAAGACATCAGAGAAACCAAAGCCTTTACTTCGAAATACATTTGACAACCCACTGCAAGTAGTGGCATACATGGGTGCCATGAACCATGACACCAACTACAGCTTTCAGGTCAGGACACTGAGCCTCTACTTAAAGCTTTGCTCAATGCTTACTTGTCACTTGGCGGCTCACACCTGTAATCCCAGCACTTTGGGAGGCTGAGGCTGGTAGATCACTTGAGGTCAGGAGATCGAGACCAGCCTGGCCAACATGGTGAAACCCTATCTCTACAAAAATTCAAAAACTAACTGGGCATGCTGGCTCACACTGGTAGTCCCAGCTAATCCAGAGGCTGAGGCAGGAGAATTACTTAAACCAGGAAGATAGAGGTTGCAGTGAGCCAAGATTGTGCCACTGCACCCCACCCTGGGCAAGAGAGTGAGACTCTGTCTCAAATCTGTCTCAAAGAACAACAGCAACAAAACTATAACTCCTTGGTTACAGGGAGGAGGAGAAAAATTATATATATTAAAAAAACAGTTTAAAAAATATATATATAACTTCTTAGGGTTTTACTCTATTTTTTTTTTTTAAATCTCTATTTTTATCCCACTACTTGATCTGTGCCTTGTTCCTCTGCCACTAAAAAAGCACTTTTTGGCCAGGCACAGTGGCTCACGCACTCTGGGAGGCCGAAACAGGCAGATTGCTTGAGCTCAGGTTCGAGTCCAGTCTGGGCAACATAGTGTAACCCCATCTCTACAAAAACTCATAAAAATTAGCTGGACATGGTGGCATGCACCTATGGTGCCAGCTACTTGGGAAGCTGAGGTGGGAAGATTGCTTGACCCCAGGAAGTGGAAGTTCCAGTGAGCTGAGATTGCACCACCGCACTCTAGCCTGGGCGATAGAGCAAGATCCTGTCTTAAAAATAAATAAATGGGCTGTTTGCAGTGGCTCAATCCTGTAATCCCAGCACTTAGAGAGATCGAGGTGGGCAGATCATCTCAGGTCAGGGGTTCAAGACCAGCCTAGCCAACATGGCGAAACCTGTCTCTACTAAAAATACAAAAATTAGCCAGGCATGTTGGCACACCCCTTGTAGTTCCAGGTACTCAGGAGGCTGAAACAGGAGAATCTCTTGAACCCAGGAGGCAGAGGTTGCAGTGAGCCAAGGTCACACTACTGCACTCTAGCCTGAGCAACAGAGCAAGACTCTGTCTCTAAATAAATAAATAAATAAATAGCACTTTTTGGCTGGGTGTGGTGACTCGTGCCTGTAATCCCAGCACTTTGAAAGAGGTGAGGTGGGCAGATTGCTTGAGCCCAGGAGTTCCAGACCAGCTTGGGAAACGTGGCAAAACCCCATCACTATGAAGAATGTGAAAAATCAGCCGGAAGTGATGGTGCCAGCCTTAGTTACTCAGGAGTCCTGAGGTGGGAGGATCACCTGAGCTCAAGAAGTTGAGGCTGTGGTGAGCCGAGACTGCACCATTGCCCTCCAGCCTGGACAGTGGGAGTGGGACCCTGTCTCAAAACAGAAAAAAAAAAGCACTTTTCCACCCTTCAGTGTTTTATCTGTCATCTTTGTGTTCTTGTGTCCTGGTGCAGTCTTTGATCAACCCACCTTAGAAATTGAGTTAGGAGATAACCTGTAGATTTTTTTCTACTGAGCTTGCCCTGGAGTAAGAAGGAAATCAACCTAAACTCTGGACCTACTGTAGTGAAATGAGAATTGCCCTGTGTTTCCTCCTAGGTTCAGTGTGGTTTAATTGTGGTGGCCTACAAAGATGGATCTCCTGCCCACCCACATTTCATGGATGAAGAGCTCTGTTCCCAGTACTGGGCCAAGTGGCTCCTTCGACTAGAAGAATATACAGAAAAGAAAAAGAACCAGAATATTCAGAAACCAGAATAGGGAACAGGGTGCTATTTGGGAACATGCAGCAACTTCTCACAGTTTGGGAACATATACTGCCATTGACTGCAGTGTAAAAATGAGGTGCCAGTAGGTCTGGGTGCTACACAGACACAATAGAAGTATTAGTTCGTTGAAATGTATTACTACCAACAAGACTGAAAAGTCTAGATGTAAAGAGCTAGACTTCGGCACATGAGATCCCAGCTGTGCTACTCTTATTTACCTGAAAGGAGGACACGCAGGATGGGGAGTCACACTGGTGACTCTTGGACTCCTTTGAGAGACCTTTTTGTGTCCCAGGCAGAATGCCCAGTCTTTGCACTGAGATTAGAAGGCAGTAAGGCTGAGGGTGCCAAGCATTTCCCCAGGGTTCACCAGAGGGGAGGGGGCCACACGCCCCCAGGTAGGACACATCAGCCAACACTAGTGCCTAAGACTTGTTTCATACATTGGGGTTTTCTGTATATTTCAGTTGGGAAAAGCTTATATTTAACCTTTTAAGAAAAATAAATATGTGATTATTTAGCCTCAAGTAAAGTTGCTGTCTATAAAGCCAGTATATTCACCATGTCGCTGGCAACAGGCCTTGGCATAACAGCAAATAACCCCCAGAAGTAGCCAGAGCCCAGTTTGAACATCACGATTGGAAGTGTTTTAGTGCTATTTCTGGCATAAGTCAATGGATCATGTAGGTAGAGTCAATTACTGTTGGTGGCGTTTTTCAGCTGTAGAGGAATTATAAAATCCATTTGTTCCTATTTGATAGGTAATAGAAATTAGCAGTTGTCACTGGGTTTGGGAAATTTAAATGCCCATTTCAGCCCTGGGGAAGGGCTTTCTGTCTTACGGAGTGAGTCTGTTAGCATTTAAGTTATAGTTGCTGCCTTGAAATAGTAGGCTGTTACAGTGACCTCTTTGGGTAGCTATTTTCATAAGAAATAAAATACAAGATATGAGTAATGAAGCTTTTGTTTTAATTATATGTGTTTATAGGATAATTTTATGAACCTGGAAGTTGTTTATACTTTGTTTATAATTCAAAATTTTACCACTGGCCCAATAGCTTTGGTGAGAGTTCTAGGTAAATCCATAAAAGAAAGCATCCTCACTAAGCTCTCAGCCATGGTCACCTGGCAAGGAAAGCAAGATTCAGGTAGGAGAGAGGAGGATCAAGGGAGACCTTTGTATTATCTCTATATACTTCTGCATTTATGTGGGTTTTTTTCAAGTTGCAGATACATATTTCTGTAGCCTGTAATTTCCAGTCAAAAATGAAGTTAGGCAGTTAAAGTTGTACTTGCAGAGTTTGCCACTGTGCTCTAATAAACCTCAATCGAGAATTTAGAAGACTAGAACTAGCAAAATTTCTTTTTTTATTTTTATTTACTGAGACAGTCTGGCTCTGTCAGCCAGGCTGGAGTGCAGTGGTGTGATGTTGACTCACTGCAGCCTCCGCCTCCCAGGCTCAAGCATTTCTCCTGCCTCATACTCCTGAATAGCTGCGCCACCATGCCCTGCTAATTTTTGTATTTTTAGTAGAGACAGGTTTTCACCATGTTGACCAGGCTAGTCTCAACCTCAGGTGATCCACCCACCTTGGCTTCCCAAAGTGCTGGGATTACAGGCATGAGCCACTACAGCCAGCTGTAAAGTTTCATTTTAATACAGGTGTTCTGTTGTATAAATATAAATTTGCCTCAGACCTGTCACTTTGTACCAGGAGTCTCCCAAGATAATGGTGGCCTGAGAAGTTCCATGAGGGAACCCCTCAGAAGAGTGTGACTAGGAAGATGGGGTTGAAGGCAAATCCCTGGGCAGGTTTTCTTGTGCTCAGGGGCTCACCAATTTCTCCTGACAATCCTCGGGCGTCACCAACTCGGTCTTCTGAGATGTTATGTCAATGAAAAAAGTTATTGTCACTATGAAGGCATAGGAGGAGAAAGTAAAATTGAGTTTCTAAATGAATTGCAGTTTTTCAAGAATTAACATGTATGAGGCTAGGTGTAGTGGCTCATGTCTGTAATCTCAGCACTTTGGAAGGCTGAGATGAGTGGATAACCTGAGGTCAGGAGTTCAAGACCAGCCTGGCCAACATGGTGAAACCGTCTATTAAAAATAAAAAAATTACCCAAATGCCTATTGATGATAGACTGGACAGGGAAAATGTGGCACATATATACCGTGGAATATTATGCAGCCATCAAAAATGATGAGGTCGTGACCTTTGTAGGGACATGGATGAACCTGGAAACCATCATTCTCAGCAAACTGACATAAGAACAGAAAATCAAACACTGCATGTTCTCACTCATAGGTGGGTGTTGAACAATGAGAACACATGGACAAAGGGAGGGGAGCATCACACACTGGGGCCTATCTGGGGGAAATAGGGGAGGGACAGCAGGGGGTGGGGAGTTGGGGAGAGAGAGCATGGGGAGAAATGCCAGATGTAGGTGATGGGGAGGAAGGCAGCAAATCACACTGCCATATGTGTACCTATGCAACAATCTTGCATGTTCTTCACATGTACCCCAAAACCTAAAATGCAATAAAAAATTTAAAAAATTAGTTGGGCTTGGTGGTACACACCTGTAGTCCCAGCTACTTGGGGAACTGAGATGGGAAAATTGCTTGAACCCAGGAGGCAGAGGTTGCAGTGAGCAGAGTCCATGCCACCGTACTCCAGCCTGGGCAACAGAACGAGACTCCGTCTCCAAAAGATTTAACATGTATGTTAGGAATTGTTGGTTGCCGTCTCTTTACTAAGTGATATACAGCATATGAAACTCCAGTGAAATGAAACAGGATATAAAATAAGGGGAGACTCTCAAGAATAATTTTAATTTTTTTAAAGAAGGTGTATATTGCTTTTCTGAGGAGGCTTTCTCAGAAGTACAGAACTTCGTCTTCCAATGTTAAGTTTAGAGAAAATCTGTTGGCTTCAAAGATAACTGCATTTCCTTTTCCTCCACCATTCTACCCATTCTTATCAGTGCAGTCAGAAGCCGACAGAAGTGCCATGCTGACACAAAGCCAATTTTGTTTTTTTAATATATATAAAATATATATATATATATATAAAATATATATATATATAAAATATATATATATATATATATATATATATATATATATATATATATATATGTATATGGCTTTTTCCCCTTTAGACCTGGCCTCTTCCTCCGAGCCTCATAATCTGAGAACATTAACCTATATAAACCTGTTATAATTCCAGGAAGACTTGTCAACAGATCTACGGTTTCATATGTGTTGACCTCATTAAATTAAGAAGGGGGTTGGTCATAAGTCAGTGTGTTTCTTGGTAACCAATTTGCCTACTGGCTTTAAAAGGAATCAGAGAAGGGTAATTTGTTTTATCACTGGGGCTTTCCACCTGAGCAATTAAAGATTTGATTATAACCTACCCTGTGTTCCCGCCCACCCCTCAACAAACAAGTGAAGGGAATTATTGGAGAAAAAAAATTTAAGAAACAACATAGAGAATAGTTGAAACGTCTATGTTTAAAGAAGCAGTAAGTTGTTTGGAGCTGTGTTAAATCACTCAATGCTAGCTAAGTAAAATGTAGAACTAACTTTTCCTTCCTTCCCCACTCCCTTCTAGCAGCAGGGACCTAAAAGTTAAGCAGCGATGTGCTTCTGTTGGAAGTCCAACCTACTGATCCACTTCAGTTATTTATCCTATTGGAGGGAACAAGAGAGAACCTCTGGGGAGAGACCCCTGAATGAGCAAAAGGCTTGTATGTTGCCACGACAATAATGATTGTCAGGTTCAATAATGCATTTATGAGGATCCAATCATACAAAGATGGCCAGGCACGGTGGCTCATGCCTGTAATCCCAGCATTTTGGGAGGCTGAGCAGGGTGGATCATTTGAGCTCAAGAGTTTGAGACCAGCCTGGGCAACATGGCAAAACCCCATCTCCACCAAAAATACAAAAAATTAGCCAGGTGTGGGGGCACACACCTGTGGTCCCAGCTACTTGGGAGGCTGACTGAGGATCCCTTGAGCCCAGGAGGTGGGCGTTGTAGTGAGCCAAGATTGCGCCGCTGCACTCCAGCCTAGGCAGCAGAGTGAGACCCTGTCTCAAATAAATAAACAGATATTTTGGGTTCTGATTTGAGGGTATTTTTTTCTGTTTTCCTTAAGAAATAGATATAAAATAAGTAAATTGTTATAAGTCAGGCATAATGGTTCACACCTTGAACTCAATGCTTTGAGAGACCAAGGTTAGAGGATCACTTGAGGCCGGGAGCTGGAGACCAGCCTGGACAACACAGCAAGACTCCCGTCTCTAAAAATTAAAAAGTCGTTGGGCATGGGGGTGCATGCTGGTAGTCCTAGCTACGTGGGAGGCTGAGGTAAGAGGATCGCTTGAGCCCAGGTATCCAAGGCTGCAGAGAGCTATGATCACACCAATACATTCCAGCCTGTTGGGTTCACAGTGTTTTGCTACTCCAGAGAGTGCAGCAGTGAACACTTTCACACGTGTTTTCTGGTACACACAAGACACATGCAATATAGTGGAAAGTACAGTGTGGATCGTGACTCTGTCACTTAACTAGCTCTGTGACCTTGGACTAGTTACTTGGCCTTTCTGTGCTTGATTTTCTCATCTGTAAATTGAGGGAAAATAAGAGTACCCGCTTCTTGGAGTTGTGAGGATTCTATGAGACAAGCACTCAGAACAGGGCCTGACACACGGTGGGAACAAAATGTTAGCCATCCTCCTATGGAATGATCAGACTTGGACATTTCTCTGCTGGGTCAAAGCTTGAATATTACCATCAAATTCCTCTCCAAAACAGTGACATCGACTTACAGTCCCACCAGTGGTGTCTGAAATTTTCTGATTTCTCACATATTCACTAACACAAGAGTTGTGAGCTCCCCATCTGGTGGAATGAAAACAATTTTTTATTTGGAACAGTATTAATGCGTGAATAAAATCTGCTTTAAAACGCGACTGCCATCTAGTGGTGGGAGAAGTACACTGCAGTTATGGGACAGAAGCCAAAAATGGGCAGACCTACATCTATCTCAGGGTCATTTGGGCATTTTAGTCGCTAGCACAGGTCTGTTTCGAATAAAATCAACTACATGAGCATTCTTCATTATCTCCCTATTTTCAGGCAGCTTGTACTTCTCACTTTACTACAACAATATGGAAACCTGGCTACACAGCGCAGTGAGGCCTCTTGCAAACAAATGCATCTGGGTCACTGGTTCAGAAAAGTGGAATGAGATAAATTAGAAACGAGGCTGTTTACCAAACTGGCAGGAAACTGCAGCTCCAACCAGGGCGGGCTTCCCACGGGCAGCACTGACTCTCCAGCGGGAGAGATGGCAGTGGACATGTTGGTGCCGGTCACACAGGCGCCGCAGGGGGCTCCACTCAGTCGGCTCACTAGAGCCCCAGTTACGTCCCAATCAGGCTCAGCCGGTCTGCTGTGAGGACTTCTAAAAGCATAGTCTAAAAGCATTGAAAAGCGTATGAAAATGTTAGATATTAACCATCAGAGACATAGATATAGTTTTAAATATCTGTGAGATAACAGATGTTAGATAATATATGTTACAATTTTGTAATGAAAAAGAATGTCCATTAAAGGTAACAGTGTAAGAAAGCAATGTTGCTGAAATGTTACTTAACATGTCTTTAAGTAATAGTGTCACTAAATTCATGACAGATTTCTTTTTTTTTTTTTCTTTTTTTTCGAGATGGAGTCTTGCTCTGTCACCCAGGCTGGAGGGCTGGGGTTAGATCTCAGCTCAGCACAACTTCTGCCTCCCGGGTTCAAGCAGTTCTCCTGCCTCTGCCTCCCGAGTAGCTGTGATTACAGGCCACCGTCACCACACCTGGCTAATTTTTTATTTTTAGTAGAGATGGGGTTTCACCGTGTTGGCCAGGCTGGTCTCAAACTCCTGACCTTGTGATCTG